ATCTTATTTTTTGCCTCTTCTTTTCTTGTGAGTAATCTTTCATTCATTTCATTACTTTTCTTTTTGGGCTTATTTTTTTAATGCTTGTTTTTATTGCTTTTCTTTCATTTATTTTTTTGAAGCTTGCTTTTCTTCTCATCTATTTCTTTATTCAATTGACTTCATTTCTTCAACTGCCGCCTGACTTCATTGCTTCAACAGGTTTATTCGTCTATTATTTTCATGTAAGGCCCCGTTTCGGATATTAGTTTGGGCTAAAATAGTCATATAAGACAAAATATACTATTTTAGTTAAATATGACAAAATGTCACATTTAACGCAAAATTATTTCATTTTTTCTCTCATAAAAGTCAAAAAAGCCAAAAAAATCTATCCCAAATAAGACTTGAGAGCAAGAGAGAAGTCTTGAGAGGGAGAGGAAGGAAGAGGAGAAGCCATCTTATTCAAGCTTAGCAAGTAAGCCACAACACAACCTTCTCTTTCATTTTCCTTTTTCAAATACATGTTCTTAAGGGTTCTAAATATTGTTTTCAGATGTGTTATTGATGAGCTACTTGTGTTAAACATGATAAGGGTTGAGCCATGATTCTACCTCTCTTGTAGTTTCCCTCATTTCGGTACAAAACTATTGTTTTTACCCCAATCTCTCAAACTTTCCAAAGGCACACCTTCAAGCAAATTTTCTGATTTTAATATATGTTAGTTAGCATGTTTTCATCACAAAAGAAATGAAAATTTTCCCATAGTGGATCTCTTTTCTCACAAATCCTCTTGTTTTGAGTATTGTCACTACAGGAAAAATAGGATATGGTGGCGTTTTTTTAACGACGTTTTTTTGAACGTCACTTTTATTAATATTTAACGGCGTTTTATAAACGCCACCTATTCTTTAAAATAAAACTACACCGTTTTATAATAGGAGTCGCTTTTAAACGCCTCCAAATCCGTTGGCCTCATGCGCCTCCTCTCTCCCACTTTGTTGAAACCCTTATTTTGAATCTGAGATGTAATACGCACGCATCTCTCTCTCTTTCTCTCAACCCTCTCATTCTCACACCTTCAAATCTCGCCTCTCTCCTGCTCACCCCCAATTGCTTCTAAACCCTCGAGAGCGATTTTCTTGGAGATTCAGATTCATGCAGGTTCATTTTGAGATTCAGAGCGATTTCGATTTTGAAGATCTCTCTCTCGATTTCAAAGCTCCACCGTCTCTCTCTCTCTCTAGATCTGGCCGGTAATCATAGTTTTATGAGAGAAGAAGGAGGACAGGGACTGGGAGCTTGCGAAGAGAGAGTCAGTGCTTGATTTCTCAGAGATTCAGATCGGTCTCAGAGATTTCATCTCTCAGCGATTTCGATTTTGAAGTTCTCTCTCTCGATTTCGAGGCTCCACCGCGACCACCATCTGCACCAGCTAGGTATTGATTTCTGTCTCTCTCTCTCATGCTCTTCCTTCCCGTCTCTCTCGATTTGGTTATTGAAATTACAAACAAGTTTAATCAGGATTTGCTGGCCTTGTGTGAAAGTGACCGGAAGAAGGAGCTTTTGCTGCTACTACAGATCATTGACATAAAGATTATTTCTCTAGGTCATCTACCAAATATTTTCAGATCCTTGGGGAGGCTTTTATTGGAGTCTTTTGTGAAGAAATTCATTTTGGAATTAAAAAGCTGTGGTATGTCCATGATTCTTTCATTTTTATGATTTATAAATATAGCAAAGACCGAGTGCTCATTTTCTCGATTATGAGTCTAGAAATTTGTCTGTCTCTGATTTTGCATCAACATTTTCTTCTTCTTCCAAGTGCTTCAAAAATTCAAATTGAAGAGACTTCACATGTTCACCACAACAACCATCAATGAGCTTATCAACTTCCATTTCATTTGAACTTTGACACATGCTATTTAAAGAATAACTTGAAATAGAGTCTAACATTTCATAATTCACATACATACGGCTCATAATTTCTCTTATTCTCTACACTAAATCATTTACCTTGTTAGTAGGCTAAATCATTTAACATGAAGCAGAATCTATCACTCTTGGACCAATAATTCAAAATTTGTTCAATTGCACAAGCTTCATGAAAAGAGGATTTTGAAATCACATACAAAACCATGGTAATATAAAGACACGTCAATATTAAAAAAAGAAAAAAAAATTATATATGCATATATAGGTTTGATTCTCAAGTTGATTAGGTTTAAATCAGGTCTAAATTAAGAAACAACTCAATCCTATCAATTTGACAAATTGAAGATCCGGAACCAAACCAATGGACTAAAAAAACCAAATCAAGCTAACCCAAAGAGACCGGTTTAATTCGATTCTTCGATTCTTCAGTTCTCAGGCTATTTTGAATACCCCTAATAGAAACTAAACAATCAACCCTTTAAAATGTCAATAGAGAAGGCCCAAGCAAAACCAACAAGAAACAACATAGCCAATATCTAACAACAATCCTAACCACAAGTCTAATAACATGACCGAATATGCTGCAGGTTATATAGAAAATCATTGACAGAATACAAAACTCCCTTGAGGTTAAGCTTCACCCTGTTGGCAATTTTTATTTATTTATTTTTGAGCAGCAAAATTGCCATGGGGATTACTTTCCAAATTTGTTTTTCTATCTTTCTGAAAGAAACCCCATCCCACCAATGCAACAACTCTATCACCGGACCCGGCGTGACCCATTGGATTCCCCACCAATTAAAATATTCGACCAAACACACCAACTCAACGGGTAGAGCAACAGAACATGGTCCATTTTTCCTCAACCCAATTGTTACAGAACACACAAAAGGTACTAATACTTCCATTAAGGATGCCAATTCGCTTCAAAATCTGAACCCAAGTATAAATAGCACTGCTGCAAAATCAGAGACAGACAAATTTCTGGACTCATAATCGAGAAAATGAGCACTCGGTCTTTGCTATATTTATAAATCATAAAAATGAAAGAATCATGGACATACCACAGCTTTTTAATTCCAAAATGAATTTCTTCACAAAAGACTCCAATAAAAGCCTCCCCAAGGATCTGAAAATATTTGGTAGATGACCTAGAGAAATAATCTTTATGTCAATGATCTGTAGTAGCAGCAAAAGCTCCTTCTTCCGGTCACTTTCACACAAGGCCAGCAAATCCTGATTAAACTTGTTTGTAATTTCAAAAACCAAATCGAGAGAGACGGGAAGGAAGAGCATGAGAGAGAGAGAGAGACAGAAATCAATACCTAGCTGGTGCAGATGGTGGTTATGGTGGAGCCTCGAAATCGAGAGAGAGAACTTCAAAATCGAAATCGCTCAGAGATGAAATCTCTGAGACCGATCTGAATCTCTGAGAAATCAAGCACTGCCTCTCTCTTCGCAAGCTCCCAGTCCCTGTCCTCCCTCTTCTCTCATAAAACTATGATTACCGGCCAGATCTAGAGAGAGAGAGAGAGACAGTGGAGCTTTGAAATCGAGAGAGAGATCTTCAAAATCGAAATCGCTCTGAATCTCAAAATGAACCTGCATGAATCTGAATCTCAAAGAAAATCGCTCTTGAGGGTTTAGAAGCAATTGGGGGTGAGCAGGAGAGAGGCAAGATTTGAAGGTGTGAGAATGAGAGGGTTGAGAGAAAGAGAGAGAGATGCGTGCGTATTACATCTCAGATTCAAAATAAGGGTTTCAACAAAGAGGGAGAGAGGAGGCGCGTGAGGCCAACGGATTTGGAGGCGTTTAAAAGCGACTCCTATTATAAAACGGTGTAGTTTTATTTTAAAGAATAGGTAGCGTTTATAAAACGCTGTTAAAAATTAATAAAAGTGACGTTCAAAAAAACGTCGTTAAAAAAACGCCACCATATCCCATTTTTCCTGTAGTGAATCATGGTTGCCAGTAAAAGAATTGAAAAATCATTCAGTTGGATGATGGATATAAGGCTGTACATCAAATAAGACCTCCGTGAAGACCTTGATGGCAATGAAATGAGAAGAATTCAAACTTGAAGTTGATAAAATATTGGACAAAGAAAAAACTGAGTAATATATCGCACAAGGAACCACTACTACTAGACATTAAATCAAACAAACATATATTTTTTTGGGGTGCTATATAAAGCTAGAAATTATAAGCAAAACTAAACATTCACGCAGAACACAACATGTAGATTATTCCGATGATTAAATTGAATATCAATAATAATGGTTAAAAGGCAAGCACAGAAAGTCATGTAGATATATGAATATATGTATATGTAAGATGTGAAGGAGTAGAGGTTTGATTGTACCAGTCGTGCAAGCGCTTGTGGTGCATAGGTTGATGGTGTAATTTTACGGGCAAGAGTTCAACAATAAGCATTTTATGAAACTTTATTTTCTTCAACGGGGATCTCCTCTACACTTTACAAGTACCTCCATCTCAATCTGCAATCCACAAGAAATTAAACTTGATGAAAATCTAAATACATATCTGACAAAGAAGAACTTATCTCTCAAAATTATTACAAGGATAATAAAAAATTAGAAGCCATGCAACTTCAAAGACTTTTTTCAATTTGTGACTAAAGGAAACAAAGAAATTACTCTGAAACAATAATTTGTTTGGTTTGTGGTGGAGGTAAAGTGGTGGTAAATTAGAAAACACAATGGAGACCAATGGTCCTTGCTTTTGAAACATACACATAAATTTAATTGGATTTATTAAGCAATTTTCACTCTGCTAAGATGTAATGAAAGGTTGAAGTTACTAAATTTATACTAAATTAAACTTATATCAACTGAAAGAGTCCATAATTACCTTGGTCTTGGTGAAGAGATTGCTTTTCTTCTTCAAGAAAGTAGTATGATCAAAGCCTTCCAGCTTCAATTTTGTCAGTTCAAATAGAATGCCATGATTTACTATACATCCTAGGATTCGTTTGGAAATTCACTTTTTTTTTTCCTAATTTTTTATGGAAAGATGTGCAAAAAAATTAGAGAGAGTGGATTATCTTTTTGGCTAATTTAGCCTGTTCCCAAACATATAGCCTTAATGTTCTAGTTTAGTTGCTGAGGAAAGAAAAAAAGAAGAAGTGATGCTTAAATTTTTTAGATAAGCTTCACAATTGTGATCCAATAAAACAGAAGGACTCCACTGAAGTAAAGCTAATACAAGCGTAAATTCATAGAATTCTTTTTTTATACTTCATTTTTAGCATCCAACAAAGGAAAAATGAAAAGAAAACCGTACAAAATTGAAATTTTTTTAAAATTAACCAGTAGATTGATGTTAATGGTACCTTGCGATTATCTTGCTGAAGTTGAGGTAGATGTAGAGGCAAGAGAGAGCATCGTCGAAGCCATCTGAATCAGACAAGACGATGAAACGATAAGATCAATTTGAAATGAGAGCGACTTAAAATTAGTAAAAAGATCAAGTAGTGATCTTTGAGAGAAATAGAACTTTGTTAAGTCTAAATTCGAATCAGTAATCGATGTAAAAAAACAAGAGTAAGAACACAAAACAAACCTTAGAAAAGTAATGAAGTCGTGTTCAGATCTAGAACCAAAACTACCAAAAACAGAAAACGAACCCTACTTTTCAAAGAAAACTGAGAATTCGAACAAAAATGAGAACTAATCATTATTTTCTTCATAGATCTATAGATACACATACATATGAGGTAGAGAGAGGGAGAGATGCACCATATCTATAAAATAATAATAATAATAATAAATAAAATAAAATTGAAGGAAATTGTGGGTGTTGATTTTTGACCACACAACCAAATGAAGAACTCAACTAGAGAGCATGAGCAGAATAGATTAAGCCCAACAACCTGTAATAAGAAGATGAGAATTCTGCGGTGTTTCGTCCACCTGCTGGCACTCCGACAATCAAGTCAGTAAAACTTTATCTCTCACAGACAACAAATAGTACTTAAACTCACCAGAAAGAACTTACCTCAGACCCACGAGGGTGCCTTGTTTTTATAACCAGCAGTGACCTCATCCTTTTAAAAGCCTCACTTCAGTAGACTCAAACTCAATACTCATCATAGACTCTCAGTTAGATAGGGATAAACTTTCATAAGCCTTATCTTTATCCGGATTGAAATTTTCCCTTGTTCTAGGACTCTTATCCCATATCCGGATGCCTTGGGATTCCGATATTACCATAGAACATCTCAGCAACACCGTGATCGTCTCGGCAACATGACTGCTCCACATGGCACCTTAGCCGACATCTTGGGCTACCTTGGCCATGTGGCATCACTCGCAAAATACTTCCTCACATAAATGATAAATCTGTTGTGAATGAAGCTTCAAATCTCAAATCAGCAAAAAAAATAAAAAAATATGAAGAAGATGAAGAATCAAACCCATAGACTTCAGGATATCTGTGTGCATGTGTGTGAAAAATGATAGATCTACTTGATTGAAGCTTAACATCTCATATGTTCGATAGATCTCCATTAACGAGTAATGATAAATCGATTTTCATGATCCATTTTCTCACATCGAGCTTCAAATGAGAGACAAAGAGAGTGAGAACTGCAAAATTAGGGCAAATGAGTGTTTGGTCCCGTGGATTGGAACAGTTTCAACAATAAAGATGGTGGCTTTTTAATTGTCCATTTTTTAAGAATCAAAACATTTGGTCTCTAAAACCTTAGTTATGATCAGATTAATTTGTCTCTAAATATTCCCAAAGAATTTCACCACAGACAATGAAGCATTTATGCAAGAATATCACAAGTTATGTTTTCATCTATAAAAGATTGTTTTTAGGCACCAAATTGACTTGGTCTCTAAAATTTAGTCAGTAAATAACTAATTTCTTGTAGTGCTTGAATCACCACTGACATTGAAAAAGTCGCCAGTGGTGGCTAGCAGAGCCAACTGGTGTGGTGGTGATACAAACAAATAGACAAATTGGATGAATAAATAGGTGATACATGGACAAATAGGGGACGAGAGTCGGACAAATAAGTGTCCAAATAGGTGAACAGTGGACAAAAAGATAAATAAATAGAGGTAATATGGTCTTTTCAAATTATTTTCTCTATTTAGGAACGAAAAAAAAAAGATCTTGGGACTTGTGTCTCAAAAATTTCAAAATTAAACTTATGGGCCTAGTGTCCCATATAAATTATGTCTTTTAATTTAATATTAGTTATGCACAAAATCGTGTTGGTTATGAATTGAAATGTTTGATAGATCAATCAAGAGTGCCAGTTTCATTACAATTTAAAATTGTATCGGGTTATATATGAAAATTGCATCGAGGTAATAGAATTGGATTTCATTTGAATGAAAGGGTGAAACCTTTCATAGTATCTATTCATATGAAAATGTGTGAACCCAAGAATCATGACATTTCTAAAGATCGCAAATACTTTTATAAATATCATTCTCATGGCATTTATAAGTGAAGCAAATGTTAGGATTCATACAGATGTCATAGTCAAGTATAAAAGAGAGTGCATAACACAAATTAGTTCGTTGTATACACAGAAAGTTGTGCAATTTCTGTGTGGGGTGATCGTTGTATCTTGAAGGCAATATGTCCATCAATCGCAAACACCAGAGGCTAGGGTGAAATTATGTTTTAAAGACACAGTGTTCAAATACTGACCTCGGTCAAAATCTATATTAAATTTACAAAATTTTCTGTATGAAATTTCTTGTGTTTTATTTTATTATTTATTTGCATTAAATTAATTTTTTCAAAAATATTTTCCTACAGTTATTACTTCAAATGTGGTCTTTGAAAGTTTATGTGCTAAAATGATAATAGAATACTTTTTTTTTTTTTGGTGAATAATGATAATAGAATACAAACATGCAGTGAAGATGATCAAAATCTGTAAATATAATATACCTTAAAAAAAAAAATGTGTATGTAACACAACCCTATTTTTTAAGCAGAAATTGAACGTTAGCGCAAGTTTTAAAAAAATAATAATAAAAAAAAAATTTACAAATCAGTAAAAAAAATTATCAATTTTAATAATTAAAGTTATAGATTTTTTTCATAAATTTATAAATATTTTGTTGAAATAGCGCTGGTTTGCAATTTTGCAATTTTTATTTATTTTTTTACTGTTGTAACCAATCAATCATATCAACTTTGGGTTAGTCCCTTTCTAATGTTACATTCACTCAGGCATGCTCACATTCATTGCAATAGGATAGGGATCAATCATATCAAATTTGGGTTAGTCCCTTTCTAATGTTACATTCACTCAGGCATGCTCAAATTCATTGCAATGGGATAGGGTAAGCCACATTAAATAGGCATGCATTAGGTAATCTACTTGAGTAGCCGAATTTATAGTTGTTATATGCCTGCAAATGTACTAGAAGAAGCAAACAAGATTTGTATGTGGCATTATGAAAAAAGATCACAAAAAGGCAAATAAAATTTAAAAAAAAAAAAAAACTTTTTAAAAATTAAACCAAATAAAATGAGTTTTGAGGGTTAAAGGAATAAGGGTGCGGCGAGAAAGTGCAAACAATTTCTAGAAAAAAAAATTAAAAAAAAATTAAAAAATAAAAAAATAAAATTAAAATTAAAAATAAATAAATAAAT